ACTTGAGTTCTCTGAAATTAAGTTTCCTCATTTACAAAATGGGAATGATATTTAATTTATAGGGTTTCTAGAAGGCTTAAGCATGAGATTTATGTAAAGCATAAGATCTAGCACATAGTAGGTGCCCATAAAAGTGACTTTCCTCTTTTGCTACTGGGAAGCTCAGAGCCACACTGGGATTTGAAAGTTACTAGCCTGAATATTTAGATTAATTTTTAACATAATATAATTACATTGTATTATCACCTTCTTATTATCTTCATTTATGTTTTCCTGATACTGATTATTCATTTCTTTTATGTTTTATTGTAGGTACTTTTATTGGATATTTTCCCCAATTCTTTTCAGAGCTAGGTGGATGGAACTTAACTTAATGTCAGGAGAAATGGACCCTTATCATGACTGTGCAATTATCTGTGTGATTTGGGGCATGGGGGCTCTCTGACCCTCAGTTTCCTCATCTGTAGAACAAGGGTAATATTAATAATAAACCTACTAGCTATCTCATAGTGCAGGAATAAAGATCTATGATTCCAGTGGTTTGCAAAAGGAATTTTGTAAACTGTGGAAAACTTATAAGTAGAAACATTAATTATTTGTGAAAAGATACCCCGCTTTATCTATTTTTGTAATTATCTCCTCCCCCAAACTGTGCCCAAGACTCATGGCACAGGGGCAGGCATGCACTAAGTGCTCAGAAAACGGCCATTGAATCTGACCTCTGAGGCCTCAACCATGCTTGTTTCCTTTCTTAGCAAAGAGCTTCGAGGTCCAGTGTCTGAGGCTCCTTAGAGATGGATTGCCTTCACCCACCAGACATGAGACCCTCAACAGAATGGAGGCATAAAAAAGATGGACTTCACTAATGGTACCCAATGGGCAAGTGAGTCCGTCAAATGCCATTGTGGGAAGGGCAGACAACCAAGGCCCACATCATAGGAACTCTACAGGGATTTTGCTCTGAAGCATTTTGACTTGGACTGAACATGAACATGGAGAAGATGACACTATGAGTAAAAGATATAAAGAAGGTTGAAGCATGAATATAAAAAAGAAAGCACCAGAAGAAAGTCCCAGAAAATGATCCCAGTGAGTGAAAAGATCTCAGAGAAAAAAAAAATCAGGCACACAGGGCAAGAAGATCAAAATCAGATTACTTAATTAAAGTCAGCCTTTCTTTACACTGAAAACAATTCACATGGCTTGTCCTTGAAATGTGATGTGCTCTCCTTCTTTCAAGAAATTCAAAGCATTTCAAAGCCATGGCCCATATAACAAAGTCCCATCACTCTTGCCACCTGGAGGTCGTTGTTTCTAACCCCAACCTGGGAGGCTTGATTGAATGGATACTGCAGAATTTAGCAGTGACGTGGACTAGAAAAGCCCAGAAAATAAACCTCTGCAGGGAGATGCAGAGTTTGAATCAGCCAAGGTCCTCCTGCTCAATAATGACATAATTGTTCAGGGCACGTGCTCCTGTAATCTTTTCCAATGTGACATCTATTCTTGTGCTCTGCCTTTCTCAGTGCTCCCTCAACATGTGCAAATAATCTCAGGGCCTCCTAAACACACTGATGCAGAAACCAGACAGCCCCTTCCCTAATGCCTCAAAAATAGATTCAATTTTACAGACATCAGGGTGATTTCAGAAGCAATTTCTACATCTCCAGTGTAAGCATTACTTACATGTTTTTTTTTTCTTCCTCAAATCTTATTCCAGTGGTTCTACAGGCATTGTAACAGGTACCTGATGCATTCCAGGGCATTCAAAAGAACCCCCAGGTCATGTTTGTGGCTGTAACCTGAGGACACTAGACGTACAGGAATCCTAAATTATTGATTGAGTCAAACAAATGCAAAATTTCTTAATTGAGTGTAACATCAAAATGTTTTTCTTTTTCAAAACACTATCATTATAATGAATATACATATATGTCTGTAAATATATGTGTATAGGTCTGTGTGCATCTATATAACACACACACATGTATCAATCATTCGTAAACACTGTCTCTGGACTTTAAAGTATCTAATTAGATTCTAGATGACATGTTTCCTGTTCCTCTCTGGCTGGCTCATCTACCTCAGTCTTGGGTGCTTTCCTTTTAAGGGTCTAAGTTGTAGCCCATGGGGAAAATGGTGGTGACGTTTCCTCTTGACAGCCAAGAAATTGGTGTCACCCAGGTTTTCACTTCAGATTGGAAAGCTTAAGATCAAATACCTATAACTTGGAGGTCACAGTGATTGTCATGGACCTTAGACCACAATCTTTTTGGCATTCAGAGTACTCTGGGACATTTTTACAAATGAAAAAAAGGCGGGCCTGTGCAGGAAAGGTTTGGAGTGAAAGGGGAACACTTGGTCAGTATAACCTATCAGCTAGATTCGCTAATAAACTTACTTGCAGGAGGTCAGGGATGAGCTAATATAGCCAGAGGCTCTGGTGCTCAGGGCGGGTCTTTCTTTAAGGACCTACCAAGCCCATTTCCTTGTCAACCCTTTGCTGCCTCTCCTGGTCCTTACGGGGTGTAGGAATTCCAGCAATTCAGGGGAGTTGAGGATGGAAAAAGGACTGGCTTTGTGGTTAGGCAGGCTGCAAACTTGATGTGTACTGTGAGAAAAACGGAAGTTAAATATTTGCTCATGAAAATAATTAGTAAGTGCCATTAGGCTTTGTCTTCTTTAAAAGCTGTTACTCAGCCTTAAGACGCGCTCAGACTTAGCATCGCCCATAATGGGTAAAATGATAGCATGTGTCTATTGACGTGCTACAAAGGGGTGGACACGACATCACCTACATCGTAGTTTTGCCAACATGTTTAACCCGAGTGTAATCATGATGGAAAAATAAAATCAGATAAATCTGGACTGTGGAATGCTCTATGGGACACCCGGCCTAAACTTTTCGAAGATGTCAGCATCCTGAAAGATAAAATAAAGGTGGGAGGGCTGTTCTAGATGAAAGGTGATAAACAGACATGCTGACCAAATATAATTTGAGCACTTTGATTGGATCCTGGATTAAAACAATAACAACAACGATAATAAGTATTTTAGGGCCATTAAGGAAATTCAACTATAGGCTGGTATATTAGATATGGAAATAGGGTGACATTACTCAGGTAAGGTAATTTTCTTGGGGTTGTGTTGAAGAGCTGTCCTAGTTGTAAGGAAACATGATGAATTCTCTGGAAGTAGAGTGTAATGATGTCTGCAAGTTGATTTTAAATGGTTCAGGGGGAAAAAATACACACACACACACACACACACGCACACACGGAGGGAGGGAGGGATGGAGAGAGAGAGAAAGGGAGTTAGGGAGAGGGAGGAAGAGGAAATATCACAAATGTGAGTGATGGGTGAATCAAGGTACAGGGTATATAAGTGTTCATTTTACTATTTTTTTCCAATGTTTTTATAGGTGTAAAAGTGGTCTCTCTTTCCCAAGGCAGCACGTCAATATTTGAAAAAGCCACCGCCTCCCTTGAAGTTCAGCGTTCTTAACCAAGGTGCCCATAAGAACTGAGTGGCTTTTACAACATCTGCATCGCACCCTCCCCGGGTCGCCTTCCTACCCCTCTTTCGCCGGATGATTTTGATTCTGTGGGTAAGGAGTGGGGCCCAGGTGCGTATAGTTTGAAAACTGCCTCAGGTGGGTTGGTTCTGTGCTGGAGGTTAGAAATCATGGGTCAGGGTTACCCTTAGACCCCGGATCCATCAGGTGCAGGCTGCGGAACGCTGGGAAGGTCAGCCAAACACACTGAGGCTTGGGTACCTTATCTATAAAATGGTAATATTAACACTGGCTGTGATGAGGGGCAAGGTGGTCAAGAAATATTTGCTGCCTTCCTTTCTTCATCCTCTCATAGAGCCCCATCATCCCAAAGTGATCGTATCTAAAGTGACTTTTAAAAAATGTGGCGTCTTCCCTTTGCCGCTGACGCAATGTGTGATCATCTGTCCCCACTCACATTCCTTTAGGTCAGCGGTTCTCAACCTTTCACAGGGGTCGCCTAAGACCATCGGAAAACACATATTTTCGATGGTCTTAGGAACCGAGACACCGCTCCTCTATCCGTCTCCAGGCCCACATGCAGATACGCCCACATACGAGTACCCGGCGACCCCTGTGAAAGGGTCGTTCGACCCCCAAAGGGGTCACGACCCACAGGTTGAGAACCGCTGCTTTAGGTGTCCTGCATCCTCTAATGTGGGGCAGAGGCTGGGGACTCAAGCTATGAAACCTAGGAAAAGAACTGATTTACAGAAAGATAAGATGAACAGTCAACTCTCTTGAGTTTGATTGCCAAGGTAACTTTTGGTCACCAGTTGGGTGTTGTCTTTTGGATGAAGGTCAACCCTGAAATCTGAGTCACTTCTGTTGGCTTGGGATCCTTCATTAACTCTACGGGAGGGCTCAGTGCTCTTGGCCGAATGCCACTGGGAACAGTGGCTGCAGCTCGGAACTGGCCAAGGTTTGGGAGGCATGGCTTCCGGGTCTGAATATGTTACTCATCAGCCATGAGGCTTTGGAGAAGTCGTTTCTCTGAGCTTCAGTTTCCTAAGCATTCAAAAAGGAGACAGTAATATTCCATGACACATCTACCTTACATGGTTTATGTGACATGCTGTTTTGAAAACTGGAAGATACTCAATTCAAGATGGCATGTTTTTCTCCTTAAGGGCATAACCATGTCCTCCTCCTCCTCCTCCTCCTTTGTCACTATTATGAGTTTTAACCTGTCTCCACTGACGTCCACAAGCAGTTAAAATGACTTTCTCCCATTTCCACCTGCTTTAAGGTAGATTCTTAAATTCTCCTTTTCACCTCAGGTTGGGCAGCCCTAAGTGTTTGCCAGGGAGAGCCTTCATCCTGGACCATCCCGGGGAAGCATCCTAACCCCACACCCTACAGCCCCTGACCACTGTGAGGGGTCCTCAGCAGAGGCGCCAGGGTCGAGCTGGGCCACAGATGTCCCCTTACTGAAGGTTCAACTTACTGAATCCGTTAACGTCCTGAGAGCTTGAGGAGAAGCCTTCATCATTGCGGCTGGTGCTGAGCTTGGTGGTGGGTTTGTCTGCCGAGGCCACAGGCCCCATCTCCCTCTGGGCTCCACTCTGCGTCTCCTTCTGTTTCTTGGCCAGCTTCCTTTGGGACATGTGCAAGGGGAAAAATCACAGTCAGACGGTGCCGGTGGCATGAAAGCTTTGGGAAGGTCAGATGGCTCTCCTCCCCCGCCCGGCATCCTCAAGCCCCAGACCCGGTTTAGTCTCCAGAAACACAGTCGAGCTGGATACTCCAATGTCAAGGTGAGATGAACCTAAGCCCTTCTGAAACCATCAGTGGCTACTATTTGCTCAGAAACATGAGACTTATCCTGCCTCATCCCCATCTACAGGTGTGTCCTTGAGTTGAGCTTAGAACGGGCGACCAGTGAGACTTGCATGACGCTTCCCTTACTCTCCTGTCAAGGGGAGGGACGGGCCTGATTGATCTTCCTGTTCCCATGGCTCTGAATGAGAGTTAAAAGGAGTCTGGCCCTTTGCAGGGACCGAGCTCATGAAATAACCCACCAAACAACAGTAGATTCAAATAAAGGCTGGTGGTTGATGGTGGCTGAGGGTGGTGGTTAGTCAGTCTTGCAGCTCGAAAGGAGAAAAGGTTAAAGTTGAACTTGAGGCATAGCTATTCCCATTGGAATAACAGACCCTCAGAACCAGTGGGCATTTATAATAATACTAGTTTAGAGCTGTGGTTTTCAAACTCTTGTGTAAATTAGAATCGCTTGGAGAGCTAAAAATAAAAACAGAACAAAACACAGAGGCCCAGGTTCATGGAGGTAGAGCACGGGCATCAAATTCTCCAGCTTATTCCGACACTGTGCACTGGAGGTTAAAGTCCTCAGCTATGGCTTCAGCACCCTGGGCTCATATCCTACCTCCACCACCTGCCAGCTGCACAGCCCAGGGCAAATTCCTAAACCTCTTTAAGTTCTGAGCTCTTCTCCTGTATACTGTGGCAAATAACAGGACCAGCCTCCTAGGGCTGGGAGGATTAAATGAGATAGTGTGTGAAATACACGGAGCACAGTGCCTGGCACAAAGTGAACACTCAACACGTGGCAGCTGCTATTCCTTTTTATATCATCACCACTTGGTCCCACTACATTCCAATGTCTGAATCCCTCTCCAATAGCCTCACTATTGAATCCCTGGATTACATCAAATGATGGAGATTTGGATACCTCACCAGGGAGCTGAAGGGTTAAAAAGTTCTTCTTCATCTGGATTTGAAATCTACTTCCCTTCAATGTTAACTGGCTTTGCCTTAGATCATCATAAGAGATATAAAAATATGACCAACCCCTCTTGCATATGACAGCTCTTCAAATATTTATAAAAAACCCAACATGGTCCCTCTGAGTTTCGCCAACGTTTATGCATCTAAATATAGGTACTATGTTCCTATGATATGAAAGGCTCCGGTTGCACATTAAATATATTGAAAGTAAATTTTTCCAGGTCTCTTGCTACATTTTTTCACAGGACTTGGCTTCACATTCAATCTCGCTGTCTCCACACAGAAAGAACAGATGTCCCAGAGAGGTCAAACGCAGTGCCATGGAGGACATAATTTTCCAAAGTTGAGCTCACTTGATCATGAAATAGGCAGTTTCAAGAGATAATGATCTCCCTGTCATAGGTATTAAATGAGAGATGAACCCAGACTTAGAAGTACTTTAGAGGAGTTCATCTAGGATCAATTCTAGTTTGATTGTATGATAGTGTCCCCCTTCACACGGGTCCCTTGATCTAGGTGGAGAATGCACAAAAGAATGGCAGATGGCACATCAAATGAGGATAAGTTGAGAAGAATTCTTGCATAAAAGGACCACTGACAAAGGTGAGAAGGGCGTAGGGGAACCCAAAGTATAATGATAGTGACAGGGGAGCTGTTTACACCCATGTGTCCAGTAGGAAAGTGGAGGAAGTAGTAACCAGAACCCAAAAAGACAGAGCTGTGAAAAAGACTCGACTTGCACAGAAGTGGCCTTCTCTTGAAGGAGCCAACCAATGCTGGGTGACCCCACAAGGAGGAAACCAGAGGTGTAAATGCCTTGAGGACATCCTCCCCCTACAGTGGCTCTGAACCCAGACATGGAGTTCATATATGGGGGTGCCCAAAAAATGTATACACATGACTTACATTCATCTTTTGTTATCGGTATATATTATTACAATTTTAACACAGTGTTTTTCCTTTCTTAAAATGTATACACATGTTTTTCGTTAATCTAGCTCTGGAAGCAGAGAGCAGAGCGGAGATGCAAGGAGCGTGAATGCGGATCCAGGAAATCCTCACCAAGGGAAAAGATTTTATCTCCCTCATTTGGCCACAATTTGAATACAAATGCAGCCTAAAATGGAATTCATCTTTTTTTTTTCTTTTGGCCTGGGGAAAGCAGGACACTGAGGAATAGGAATGCATCTTTTGGTTATAATGCTTTGGCCCCTGACATATTGTTCCACTAGTGACAGTATTCCAGGCAAACAGAAAAACAGCAAGAAATGAAGCGTTGGATCAGTGGTGCCTTTTCTCACCATCAGCAGGCAATCAGACAGGGAGGGAGAAACACCAGCGAAAGAAAAAGGAGTAATTCTGCGACTGATGACATTTCAAAGTTTATTCCTCATTTATTATCAAAAAGGAATACGTTTAAAAATGTATATGTGACCTTCTTAACCATAAATTTGAAAAGATATACAGCAGATCCTCTGCCTCTGTCCCAGCTCTGCTCGCATGGCCCCAGCAGGAAATAAAAGGAAATCGGATAAGAGAGTAAACTTTAAAACTGTAAATGAGTATATATTGGAGACGTTGATATTTCCTCAGGGGCAGAACTGCTAACCAGTCTCATTCCATTCAGGGTTTGATAATGTGGCGAGAGTTGTCTTTGGCACAAATCATTGGTTTCCAAAAGGATGATAATAATGAAATGGCCTCGCTGCCTTTATGAAAAATGGCATTTTACAGGAATGTCTGGGCAGCTCTGAATACCTGGATTAAAAATATGAAAAATTGAGCCTCTCTAAAACATGTATTTAAACATCGCACAACTATTATAACTGAGTTGTCAAATGGACATATGACATTCCCAGTACTTAGTCCATGGTTGACACTACATGTTCACGGGAAAATGATGCAATACAATAATTTAAAATTATGTAGACAGGTGTTTGAGCAACAGGGAAACACAGCTACAAAGTGGAAATGGAGGGGATGTAGAAGGAAAAAAAACACAATTTGGGGATCTATCTTTACGTTATGTCAGAATTCAAAATCTAAGTATCAAAAAAAAATCCCTCTTAGTAACACAGGAAAAATCATATTCATTTCTAGAGCTGTAAAGTTTAATTGATTCCCCTCTCCCTCCTTATTTTTTTCCCTTCAGAGAGGGTTAAATCCAAACCTGTGAGGAGGACATCTGAGACCCTCAGACTAGGGCTCCAGGCTTCAACTCAGCCTTCTCTTCCACACAAATCTCCTCTTAGGAAACACTGACTACCTCATCTTTCTCCTGCCACCATTCCTCAACACTCTATATTCCTTAATACGCCCCCCATTCTTCTCCGCTGGCCACCCCCTCTTCACCCTTCAAGGCTCAGTGGCATTCCAATGTCACATCTTCTTGAAGTTTCCTCTAAACAGATTTGTGGTTTTCTCTTCTTGGTGGACTCACCCATTGGACAAGTATTTTTTTGAGCACCTTCATGTGCCAATCTCTGCTAGATGTAAGAAGATCCTAGTGACAAAAACTAGACATGACCTTGACCTTCACAGAACACGGAGCCCAACGGCAACGTCAGGTACCAAACCAATTAATGCAGAAGAAATATAAAGTCACAAAGGTGATAAAAGCCAAGGAGGAGAAATACGTGGAGCTATGAGGGAGCTAATAGCTGGTTTGCGCCCTGTCAAGAGATCAGGAAAGGCTTCGTTGCCATGTCAGCCAAGCACTTGACTGGTCCAATTGCAGTGATTCAGCTCCCCACCCACTAGGGCAAGAACCTCTTGAATGAAGGGCTTTTGACTTCTTGCACCTATTCCCATTTCTTGCTGAGTGTCTGGCACATAGCCGGTGCGCAATAAATTTGTTGTACAAATTTCTATTTAAAGCTCTACAATTTGGAGTGTTGAAAAGATTGCCATCTACTCTGACTGCAAATTATAACCACTTTCAAGAAAGATATATACATACATATATATATATATATATATATATATATATATATATATATATATACAAGGAAAAGAGGAAGAAAAACCTGTATGGAAGAGTTTGTGACCTGGAATATTTATACTTAGGAATATTTTTGGCTAGCAATTTAGCATTTCCTTCCTGTGGTGGTCAGAGAACTCTTGGGATGTTTGAACAATTACTGAAATGGAAAAGTCATAGATTTCCCCCTCATAGCCCACAGAGTAGCCATAGGTGTGGAATTAAAAAACAAAACAAAACAACCAAACTCATAAAATAGTGACGTATTATATGGGATGGTCACATAACTCATGGAATCCTCAGATCCTTCAAGACTCAGGTGCCTGGGACTTCACAAGCTTGGAATTTTCTTTTTCTCCTTGTTCTGAGATTCTTGCCAACTGGGACACACAATTTCACCAGCAGGGGGTACCAAACGCTGGTGAAAAGAGAGCGTGCCTGAGCCTGTCTGCCTCTGCAGGTTCATTTCTGGAGCTGAAGAATGTTTTCAGACATAGCAGTCAGAAGTTGACTGCTTCTGACAGGTGGGGACAAGGTAATGTGGCCGCGGCTCTTGGCATTCTTCCTTCCAGCGGATCACTCAGGTCTCTCCGACCTCTGCTTGTTAGCTGAGTGAGGGTAGGACGCAGGGGAAGTGCCCAGGATGGCCTGTGAGTCCTGTGATGCATTCTGAGCACCACTCTTTATAAGGGACAGTGGCAAGCGGGCTGGCTCAAGGGAGAGGCTGACTGCAGGGCAGTGAAGGCTTCTGAAATCACGCGAGGAGAGGAGGCATGTCTCAAACGGATATTTCTCATGCAGGGAGAATACCCAGGAACGCTCTCGTCACACATCCGATGTCCAGCTCTGTGTGGCGCCAGGGGGCAGG